GCTCATCGTCGAAGTCTATCAACTTCTGGCAGCCTGTGGCTGGATTGGCAATGTTTAGCTGTAAAAAGTTCAAAAGATAAAGTCAATGTGTTGGCCAAATCATCAATCAAACATTCTACATAATCACACCCCATTTCTCGCTCTTATTCACTTAATATTATACAATTAGGAGTGGTTACCTTCATAACCTTTGATACGTAAATTAATTGAAGAGGGAGATCATCTAAAAAAATTTTTTGAAACTTTTATAGGATCTGCCATGTGATTGGAACATATTTTCTACATATTAATACAGTATAATAATAAAACGTTTCATCAATTTTTTCATATAATAATTTTTTTAAAAACTTTAAAAATCAGAAATTATATTAAAATTAAAATTATTATTATTATCATTAAAATTATTATTATTATTATTATCATAAATTGCATATAATTTTTTTTATAATTATTTTTAAATTTAAATGCACATACCATGTTTTCCTCTCTAAATGCACATACCATGTTTTCCTCTCTAAATGCACAATCAATCTTGGTCCCAAGTACATAAAACTTTTAATAAAACTCCCTTCCTAAATGCACACCCTCTTTAATACACATTTTCAAAAAATCTTTAGGGGGTCCATCGAAATACTTTTTAATCGTTCAAATAATTATATTGATCATATGACTTGCAAATCGCATGGTAAAACTACCATAATAGTTAAACTAGTTTTAGTCGAACTACTTGCGTCCTAATTTAACAAAAAATAATGAAATTTATAGATTTATAATAAACCTGATATGTATGTTCGATATCGAATTTATTAGTGCTATGAAACAAATCATTCGTACATTTGTAATATTGTTGATAAAAAGTAAGTCATATGTTAAAATAATAAAGGTAACTAAATCTATTTCCAGATGTCTGGAGTATGAGATATTATCTTAATAAACGGGATCCACGCTCGTCTGTTTTATGCCTTGTGTTCATATATCATGTGATTCGCGTGTTATATGCTTTTTCACACGGTCTTCCCATTCAGTGTCATGAAATTCATTTTCACTGTGATGTGATCCTTCTCCCTCCCCCATCATCACCAAGACCTCCACACCATTTTAATCTGGATTCATTAAACGTTACTGTTTTTCGATCCTGTGTAAAAGATAGTAAGCACGCCTCGAGAGCTTTATTAATGACCAGGAAATTTTCCGAGATTTCCCGATGGAACTTTAGCATGACTATGCTAATTGATTTGCTATAACGAAACTTCATAGCTGACCGATTCAAGATATTAAATGTCATCGCCAGAACGGTCACTTCGATATCGACTGTTAAGTTGCCCGTTTATTTAAATCAATTGAAACCAAAGGAGGGCCTGCCCAAGTGAACTGTGTTAACTAATAAACTAGCGAAATCATATTATACAATATCTGATAGTTTGACGGTGTAGATAAAATAATTAATGGGGAAGAATAATTATAGAACACGAATGATAAAATAAAAAACAAAATTCCTTATTTAGAGTATTTCAAAAGTTCAAACGATGGGATGGTAAATTTATCCAGATAATTCATGAATTTTAGCTCTCGATTTTTCAGCTAGTGTTTGAGCGGATTTGGCCATCACAACGATCGGAAACACATAAATGGTGTATATAAGCGAAGTAATCACAGCAAAGAAAACTGTGATATCGTCGTGCACTATATCAAATAGCAAATCAAGTTAAAGATAAACGAGAACGTCGTGATTATTATTATTCCAAACTTCTTCTTACCTCTCTCGAAAATCAGACGAGGAAGAGCATTTAATGGCAGCATTTTGGGATCGTAGAATAAGTTCACCCGAGCCTTATATTTGAGTAGATATTTTCGAAGTTAGAAATACGCAATTATGCTTAAGCGCCAGAGAAACACGAACAAACTCACCGTTTGATTTTCTTCCCTGATTAACAACAATATTATTAATTAAATCGTGTTAACAGAATCAATGTCAAATTTTGTAAAACTCAATACACGACGTCGACCTTGACAAACTTCGAATACTCACGTCGTCTGATCCAATTTCTCTTTGAGATCTTTGATCTCTGATTCTTGTTCCGACATCTTTTTGGTCAAAGCATCCATTAATTTTTCTACCTTGAGAATATGATCAAGCTGTTGTTGTTGTGTTGACGCGATTGACTCGAATGTTGGCAAATTAGCCAACTTCAATGATTGATCTTTGACAGTGGCGTCGAGACTTGCATTTAAAGATAGGAGAGATTTATTGGAGATTCTAAGATCAAGGAACTTAATTGAACAAGTATAAGTAAATAATCATTCATTGTGTTCCCATAGTGCATTTAAATTTTGAATACCTTGCGTTGAACCTTTGGATCAGAAGATAACGACATTAACTCCTCTACCTCTTCACGGTCACCGTCATCATCATCATCTTCTTCTTCCCCATCATTGTCATCTTCTTCTTCAACGGGCTCTTCATCAATATACTCATAATTGTCATCCGCAACATACTCATCGTCGTACTCGTCGTCGACTCGCGCAGGTGAATATCCGTTCGTCATATCCATCATCGCATTCATCGAAACTTTAGGTTTATGCTGTTTCAAATCCCCTCGTGAAGGATTTTGATAACAGGGGCCAAAATCATTTTGATCGGATACATTTTTGGGACGGTATATTACATCGGACCATGTCTTTCGAGTGCCCGCAGGTGATTTACTATCATACCTGGGGTTCATCCGGTATTGAGTGTTGTCTTGGGTGTGAGGCAAGGAATGATTATAACTAATCAGCGAGGAAGCCTTTGCCTTTGGCATGTGCGATGAAGGCGTGTTCGACCATTCATCATTATTATTATAATAAGAAGTTTTTCCGTAATGAGATTGATTGTCATATGTATTTGATTTAAGAATAGATTTCTTGGAATTTGTGTTCTGACCAGGATCACTCCCCCACGAAACGTCCGAACGAACGTCAGGCCTAAGAGTAACATCGGAATTAGAGTTAAACGAAACTTTACGAGGTGATTCATCAGATATACTATTGGTTCTCCTTTGCCGCGTTTTTATTGTATTTTCTGATGCTTTGACCCTGAGAGCATTATTGCGACCCGGGTCACTACTTCTAGATACTTCAGACCGATTGTCCCGTTTCTCTGAAAAATTTTCTGACCAAACTGACAAGCCTTGTTCATGTTGACCTTGTTGCTTTTTCTGTGAGAACTTCAAGTTACTGAAATCTGATATAATCATATTCGAAGAAACTTTTGCACGGGATTTTTTGGCATCTCCCTCCTGTCCGTCGGCAACACTTTTTGTAACACCTCCAGCCTCCGAACCTACAACAGGACTAACTTTAATTCTAGGTTTCACTTGCTCAACACGAGTGATTGAAGAATCGGATGACTCTGTTTCTTCGGAACTGGAACCCGAGCTATCGCTTTGATTGGAAGTTTCAGTTGGCTCTAGAGCGAAGGCTCTTATCCCACGCAGACTTTCGCTCAGCGTGTCTGAAAAGGTGCGAGAATGAACGACTGGTGACTTGTCTCCTACATTTGAATTACTACCCGAATCTTGACCTCTTGCTTGATTAAAAGCCAAATTAGCAACATTCATTATCGGACTGTTAACCTTTGGTTTCTGAGATACATTTGAAGCTCCGTCTTTAGACCCAACGGAAGTGCTTTTACCGAACAAATCTTCAAAGTTCATGATATCAAGGAATGATTACTGAAAGTACAGGGATAATCGGTATTAAGGGACTTTTGGAAACAATAAACCCCCAAATAGTTGATCGCAATAATCCCTGTAATAATCACGTAACATAAAAGGTATATTTTATTATTACAATATTGTTTACAGCTCGGGAATTTGCGAGTCGGGCATAATGGTTATTTTTTTCTTCATTATGTTTTCGATGTAGTAGACAATCATATCACGAGTTCAATTATTTAAACTTTACGAAAAAATCTACCTTTTTAAATATAAGTGATAAATATATTTTTATACCTGCATTTAATTTATCACACGAATTATTATTATTATTATTATTATTATTATTAATGAAATATGGCATTATCCTAAACATTGCAGAAAGCATTAAAAACTGAGATATATTTCTGCAACCTAATAAATACTGTTGGATTGGAAAGTAATTTTATAGTATCAAGAAAATGCAACAATGGTAGTGAATCTCAATAGAATTTTGTGGTAGGATACTAATCAAAGAAAATATTTGATCATTCAATCTGATAATTACGCTTTTCAATTGCATGAACAGTATAAACTAATCAAGGCATCGATCTTTAGTATTCGTTGTAAGAAAATTTTTATCTTTATTAAAATGCTCTCTCTTTGGAAAAAAACCAATCACCATTAAGACTTCTCATGAATTAATTGATATATGATATTTTTTATAACAAAAAGCCTAATATAAAAGGAGGTACTTATCTGTGGTCATCGTTACTAGGTCCGAACGATAGGTGGCCACAAATCATCGGAAACAAAGGAATAATGTCTGATTGAAAAACGACCTCCAGTGAATCAAGCGTGATTTCACCAAATATCCATATTCTGATTCTACCACGAGTGCTTATTCTGAAAAAAACAAAATAATAATAAAGAAATTAATACTCCTCATTAGGAATTTTCAATTATTTCATACCAGATGTAATGTTATTTTCTCCCCACAACGTATGCGTCTGGAACCAACGCGATGTTTATGACTTTATCAAAAATTATCATTAGTTTTTTTTTTTGGTTTGCGTTGTCCTGGATGGATAATTCTTCTTCGATACTTAAAGGTAGTGGTTGAACTAGTGACTTAATCGATTGGGCCCCGCAAAGAATGATACGAAGGAAAGCAATTTCCATGCTGAATATGACATTGTTAGAAAAGCCATTTTAGAAACTAAATATAAGTAATATACTTTATTATTATAACACTTGATGAAGAAACGGTGGTCGTTAGGATTGGTAATGCGATGTGTGATGGGGGTTCGACTGTACAAGGAGTACAAAGCGTTCGAAAGATTTTCGAGTCGCATGGATATCCGTATACTGTTTGAGAGAGGATAGTGTCTATTTTTCGTTTATATGTTGGGTGATTTTGTCTATGTGGGAACCACCGCGAAAAGTACAACCTTGCGACCGACCGTTCCGATCCGTGACCGATGACTGCACACTTTTTTAAATTTGAAAATAACCAATAAAGAACTCGTTGATAATATTTGAAAATATGAAAGGCATAATTAAGCATCAACAAGATCAACTCTCATCAAAGGTAAAAAAAAAAAAAAAAAAGAAAGGAAAAGAAAAAGAAAAAGAAAAGAAAGAAGAGAAAACCCCCAAACGTACGCACTGCCCACAAAAAGATATATAATTGAAATATAGGAAATAGAGAAAAGAAAGAGACGCTACTCAAGTTCATTTGCAACTATACAAAGGAAATTGAAGATATTTAGAAAATTTTACATGCAAAGAAGTCTGTATTAAATCACTGTATTCTTCGTTTATAGAGGCTGGCGTTGTTGAGGATTGGTCATTCATTCATTCCTTTTATCTTACTCAGTTCCGCGAGGGCTTCTAGATTGAGAACGATGTGCGGGTGTCATCGATGGAGAGCGAGAGGCTGGACGACCATTTTGAGATGGAGATCTATCCCTTGGAGATCTTTCAGATATTTCCATTGATTCATCCGGTGGCCTAGAAGAAGGTGAATGAGAATCACGACGTTTGGTTTCATCCCGTGGCGTTATGGACCTGGACCTTCTATCTTCGGCAACACGTTCTTCACCGTTAGATCGGTCTTTATCGGGACTTCTAGTGCGAGAACGACTTCCGCGACGTGTGTCTGAACGAGGTGAACGACTGCGACCACGAGAGTAAGAGCGACTAGCCGAACGAGTATAAGAACGACGCCTTCTATGAGAACGTGGTGGTGTAGGAGATCTCCTACTTCGACGAGGAGAACTCCTACTACTACCTTCATATCTCCAAGATCTGGAGGGTGCATTTTTAGCCCACTAAGAAAAAAAAACGTGGATTCAATAAAAGCTTAGATATATATAATAGAAGATATATTAAATAATAACCTGAATGTTCAGAGCATGACCGTAGACCCTGCGACCATGCATCTCGTAATAAGCATCTTCGGCATCTCGTTCATCTTCAAATTCAACAAATGCATAACTGTTTCACATTGATGAAATCATCAAAAAAAAAAAAATTTTTTTTTAAAAAAAATTGGTCCTCCAAAGATCGACCGTTAAACTTCCTCGATCGATATCTTAATTGAATAAAAACATCATATATTTACGGTTTAGATTGATAACTTCTTGGTGCCGGAATATCACATCGAATTAAACGTCCATATCTAAAATAAAAAAAACAATTAGAAAAACTTTGACCGATGCGAAAAGTCCACGAGAAATGTCGATAGGAATATTTGATCCTTTAGCTATGATAGCTTATTAACCTTTCGAACTCATATGCTAACTCCCTAGCTCTAGTCTGGGATCCAAATCCAGCCACAAATAACGTTGTTCTTCTATAACTCATGTTACGTTATTCTTATAAGCAAAGAGCATCAAAAATACTCAGATAAAGACTTAGCTTAATGAATATAAGAACAAGTAACTTTTTTCCTCGATTTATGTAGAGAAGAGTTCTCTTAGAAAAGAACCTTAAGTGTCTAGTATATCGGTTGACCCTTCTGTTATTTAATCTCTCACCCCTTTTATAAATGTCCCTTTCTGGCAATAATATTCGAATTTTGATAGGGCATTTATTTTTAGATCATGAAAATCATGTGACAAAATCAAAAAAAAATTTTGTTATTGTTACACATTATTTCAAAAAAAAAAAACCATAAATAATATAAGTTATTATAAAATTTATAATTTATAAAAAAAAACAAATATTTTTAAAATTTTTATATCTTTATAATAATAAAATCTATATACTTTATTTATATACTTTATTTAACAATATTTATTTTCTAATTAGCAAAACAAGTAATAACTATTATTTGTTTTTTGTTTTTTTTTCAAAATATTTTTTTAAAATTAAATAACAAGAAATCTATTTAAAAAATCTATAGCAATAATTATATATAGGTAATTATTTTTAAAAATAGATAAGAAACTTTTTAATATATCTTCTAATAATATCTGTTTTGTTAAAAATTTTTCTTTTATAATAATTTTAAACAAAAAAAAATAGTTTACTTTTTTTATTACAAGTAAATTTTAGTTCAAAAATTTAAAAATCTTCAAGACAGCTGATACAATAAATAAAACCTTTGATCAAAGTTTATTCAAGTTTGGAAGTTTTGCTTATCCTTTAATTATATAAAAAAAGGCCTATAACAGTTTTCTATTCTTTTATTTTCTTATATTTTTCCTTATTTTTATATTATTATAAAAACCATCCATATTATTATTATTATATTTGCTAAAACAAAAATTTTTCAAAACATATATTCAAATAGAATTAGTGAATTTATTATTTGTTTCAAATTAACTCATAAATACTATTTTACTATAATAATATTTATTATGTTATCTTAAATTCTTTAATATTTTTTTTAATTAAAAAATCAAAACCAGCTTATTCTTTATAAATGATTAGTAATTTTCAATCATTTAATCAGATTTTGCTTAAAAATCAAAACAAAAATCAAACTTGTTTAAACCAGTTTTGTATTATAATAATAATTACAACAATAATTATAATATTATTATTAATTATATTTTTACTAATAACTATAATAACAAATAATGTCATATATATTTTATTATCTATAGTAATCAAAAAGCTAAAGAGATAAAATAACAAGTCTGTCCAGGAGCTTTTTTAAAGAAATAATTGATTTCCTACTTATAAATTTTATAGTTTATTTGACTTAGTTTTAGTTATAATTATTTTTATTCTTTTCTTTTTAATTTTTATATATTTAAAAAATTAAAAGATTTCATAAAATTTCTTGAATTAATAGGTATAGCCACTATTTAGCTTTATTTAAAACTATAATATTGTTTTTGAAATTTTTTCCAATATTAATTAAATAATATTAAATAAACAAGCTAGTATTTAACTTTTTTGAAATAATAAAAAAAATATTGTTTTTTTCACAATATATACTTTATTATATACAATATCAAATAAAAAAATAATATTTATCTACAAGAAAAACTCCCACAAAAAAAAACTTTGATATAATTCTAAAATTTATATTATATATATTATATAAAAGTTAAATCTAAAAAAAAAAAAAAATTATATCTAATGGCAGCCAATACCAATGCAACTAACAGTAAGTTAGGTTAGCTTGCAGGTGTCATGCTGGTGATTGGAGAACTTAGTAGGATAATACGTGAAGACCAGGGATTCTAGTTACTCCGCAACACGAGCTGGTGACGACAACGGAAGTTTCTCGCCTATTCCTTCGACAATGTAGGTCTTATTGTACAAGATCAGATATCAACACCTTTAAGAAATCCAAAACCAAACTCCACCCATGGAACACTCCACCACACTTGAGAAATGGGTGTGCCAAATTCTTTTCATGACTTGGAGGCAAACTTGTATAAAGTGGCTGCAGCACCTTCATGTGAAAAGGTAATCATAAACAAAAAACTTCCCAACACTACTCCGCTTGCTGAACATCAAGTCACATTTGAGAAGCAAGCATGCCAGTCCTACTCATGACTTGGAGGCAAACCTGTATAAAGTGGCTGCAGCACCTTCATGTGATTAGGCATTCAAAT